TACCCCTTTGAAATTTGTGGGCATAAAACCCCCAAAATCCCCCGACCAGGTGGGGGGGGCGGGGAAATTCTGGGAGTTGAAGTCCACACATCTTCAAGTGGTCAAGGTTGAGGAACACTGCTCTAAAGATTCACCACTCTCCAACCTCTGCTGCCACTTGAACTCCCTACTGTTTGGGTCTGTATTTCCCTTCTTTCTGTCCTCCTCGTGTTCCTGAGCATATGGACTTCACTACCCCACTGGAGGTGGCACTGGGTCAGGAGCAAAATGGCTGTTCAGCTGCCAACCCATTGAATGTGTCTCCTTGTAGACCAGTAGAGGGGAAGGGAGGTTGGAAGCTATAAAAACAGTGATGCTGTAGATTCTAGTCATGGCAAGCCCTGGGAAGCAGACAAGGCATCCCCTTACGAAGCCTGCTTCCTCAAGCAAACATATTTCCTAGCTCCTCACCCCAACATTATCTATGCCTCGTTTTGCTGCTTCATCCCCAGTGTTTAGACATCCCACCATAATTGGTTTCATAGGAGAAACATGCATATTTGAGCATCTTGTTCCCTTTTTGCTATACTTTGACATGTTTGATGCTCAGGAGAAGTTGGAGAAGCCACTCCACTTGCCAGTCAGGGAGCAAAGGACAGGACTTCACTGTTGAAGTTCAGACGAAAGTATTTGCCGGCCAAGCCAAAAGAAACAGTTAAGGGAAGAGTGATTCCCAGAGAGATTCATAAGAGGAGATGTGTTAAAGGTTCTGCCGTGTCTCTATTTACTTACCATTTTGAGGGCGCATATGCTTGATGTAAACTCCTGCAATGCCATTCCAGTGAAAGCCAGTGTGTGATGTAACTGCTTTCCACTTCTTTGCACATCTGGCAGGTTTTCTTTGAATGCTCTCAAGGCCCTTCTGCTTCTGGACTGCTCTGATTATGCCTGGAGCTTCTGATGCTGCCAACTCAACATTGCTGGGTGGGATTCCAGAATGTCTTGGGAATGGACAGGACGAATTGGACAAACCTAGACAGTTCCAGAGACTGGTGCCAGCCCCAATCTCTGCCTCCTCTTTGCTAGCAAAAACATCTTAGAAGGTCCTGGACCAATTTAGGTTTAGCGCTGCAACCTGAGGAGCAATACAAATGAGGGAGCTGTGCGTTTATCTGCATAATTTCCTTGAACTTTACCTGGCCAAGAATGTAATTACTTTGTTTACTGAGGGAGTTTTCTCTGCCCCTTCCAAACGGGGCATTCCAAGGGGTGTATAGCCAGTGATCCTAACACATTTAATGTCCAAAGCAATAACAAGTTGTGCTTGATTTGATTCCAATTTTGAAGTTGGACTTTTGATTCAATTTAAGGACAGACGATTGGATGTGCAAAAGCCTGTCAAATCTCCAAACCTTTGTAACTTGGTTGGGAGGTATCCAATTTGATTTGCTGCTTCAAATCACTTCAGAGTTTGGAGTCAAATCAACACATATGCAGAATCGCCTTAGAATCCAAACTCTGGACTGAATATTCACACAGTCCTAAACAGCCAGAGCCAGAATTAGGTTGGTAGAGAGATATAAATTCATGAGTCCACTCAAGTTCAGAAGAAGGGTTCAGAGATTTCTTGGCCTGAATTGGTATTATGAAGTCTAGGGAGAGACGCCCGTGCTTCTGATGACCATTTCACAGCTATTTCTTCCGCTGGGCATAGGACAAATATGTACAGTCTGCAATTTCCCAGAGTTAGAAGAAAGGGAAGAAGGATGTTCTGATATGTGGGGAGCTGTGATGGAAAGTATCTACGAGGAGGAGAGTGATGTGGGAGATCAAGGCTATCAGGAGGGAGGGGACACGTTCCAGGAGGGGAAAGGAGACAACATAGTCCCCAGGGGGAGCATGAGAAGCATAAGAGGTTCAGGATAGCCACTCCCTAGCCTCTCCCAGGGTGTATCCACTTGTTGCAGGAGTATAGATTTAGTTTGGCAAGATTCTGCCTATAAGGTACAAGCAAATAAAGGAACTGTACTCAACTGGATTGTTTCATCATTGTTCTTCGGCTGGGCCTGACATGAGCCATCATATGTACCACATTAAACCAATTGTAACACTCTCTTTTCTTTAAAACTCAAGTAATTCCATTTTTGTCCCAGTCTACCCACTATTTAGGCTCAAAAGCCAAGCGGTGTTCTTTTAATGTAGATATGAACCATGCCATATCTCAGAGTAATGGATTAGGGCAGGTTATGAATCCTGCAAACAAATAATAAAAAAGTAAATAAATGTTCCCACTGGCACCAAATTACAACACAGTAATACCCAGACCACATCTTTTTTTGGTGGTGGTGGTGGGGGTCAGATCCCCATGACTGTGCCTTCATCTTGTCCCCAACCCACAAGTGAGAAAACCTTAAGTTGTCCTTAGCTGTACCAGTGTTTAAGAAGTATTTTTCCCCTTATTTTGATGTCATTCAAAGGCAGTCTTGAAGTGCCTAAACATGTGATATGCACTATCTTGGAAGGAAATCGGGAGACTGCAGGGCCTGGGAACAGAGGCAGCAGAGACACCAGAGGGATTGGCCATAGGGACAGCACTGCTAACTCAAGAATGGGTGGGGATCATTAGAACTGTGTAGGGATCGGGCACTTTGGTACCTAAACATTCAGGCCACAGGTTGCAACTCAAGATGGAGCGCCACTTTCCAATCAGAAGGTAACATCTTCAGGTCTTCATGGTGAGCCTGTATACCAATCTCTCCACTCTTCCAAACTTGCCCATCAATCACTTGCTCCTCCTGTTTATAAAGGAAAAAAAGTTACTTGTTACTTGTGGCACTGGCTGTCTCTGATGGTTTCTGTGCTTCCCACTATATCTGGAAGTATGGGCGTACTCTGGGTCCCATTGGTGAAGCAATGTCACCTGGTAGGCCCCAGGAAGCATGCCTTTTTTGTCATAGTGCTGTTTTGTGGACAGCCCTGACCATGTTGGCCTTCCAGAAGACTGTGAAGACCTGGCTCTTCCCCCCAGGTCCTGGGGCTGGGATATTGATGGCGCTCTGGAGTAGATGTGTTTTGTCTGATGATAATGTGATTTTAGGGCCCCCGATCCAGTTTCTTCTTAATGTATCTGTAGAGTTGCTTTGCTTTTATTTCTGTTCGCTGCCCAGAGTGTGCAGATTGCCTTGGGTAGATGGGCACCTTCATAAACTTGTTAAATAAATAATAGATAAATTGCAGCAGTGAAGCTGTTGTGAGGTTCAAGAGACCAAACAAAACCAAAAAAGTCTTTTCCTGTGGTCCCTAAAATAGGAGCCCCAGAACTGCTGCTCACCTGTCCAGTCTTCATGGTGATGTGATGTTCTCCCTGTACTTTGCTGAAGCAACAAGGCAAGACCTCCCGCCCCATTACATCAGGGCTTATAGCTTGATAAACGGTTCCTTGTAAATTAATGGCATCCACCAGCCTTTCCAGAAGCTGCGGCCTTCCAACCACCCCCTTTGGATAGTAATACTTGTCAACATGACCGGGGATCTTTCTTCTAATAATATTTTGAAAGCCCATGTACTTGTCAAGATACATCTGCCCTTCCCTGCCTCTAAGGAGATGTCCTTTTGTACAACCAGCCTGCAAGACTTATAATTTGCCTTTGCCAAGACAAATGCCCACATTTTACTGGAAGACAAATAATTCCTTCTCAGTGGCGAAGGATGAAAGAGACTTGCCCTCAAGGAAGGTCTAACTTTCACACAAGAATTTGGGAGAAGAATGGCCCAACAGAGCTCCCTTTGTGAAACTAGCTAACTGCTTACGGCTTCTAATATGTGGCATGTGCATTTGGGTTGGGATGACAAGGAGGAGAAGGAGGTGGTGGCTCTTCCAGAGTTTGCCCAAAATTCAGCTTTCCTCCTCCTGTTCTTAAAACAACAAACCCTAAGAATTACAAATGTCTTGAATGGATCTGGCCATTTTTCATTTATTCACTGGAATTAGGGGAGCAGGGGGAAGTTGGCAGCCAATGAAATGGGAAGTGAATAAGGCAGGAAAGAATGCACATCCTCAAAGTAGGTCCACCCTCCCCACTTTCGAGAACTGATGCAAGATGTCTCCAATACTAGAGTGATTTAACTAGAGCTGTGTGCCAATGGCCTTCAGAATTCTTTGCCATAATTACGTATAACTAGAGAAATAGAGAAGAACAATTTATTGAAAGTGTCCAGGGATGGAGGTGGTGGTATTCAGGCTGAAATCCTATGGAGAAATCCCTTTGAAATTATTGAAAGGGAAGGAACCAGAATGATTGCCTAATGGAATCTCCTAGGAATCACTTTCACAATGGTGCTGCCTGGTTTAAGCCAGATAGGCTCCTTAAGTGACCTTCCAGCTATTCCTCCTACGTCTCTCTGAAGGCTAGCCCCCCCAAACTTACAAAAAAGAGAAACTGATTTATTTATGTTTGTCCTACAGCAGGACACCTCTCTTGAAGTTCAAAACAAAATGTAATCAGAGGAGGAAGAGGAGGAGACGGCAGCGGAGAAGAAGAATCCATCAGATTCTGAGGAAGTATATTCCATCACAGAACAGCTTGTATTATTTATTTTAGTTGTCCAGGATGGTAAAACCTTCCTTTTGTAAGCAAAATAAGTCTAAGAGCCAAAAACCACAGTTTTCATGCTTAAAGGACGTATTTTTAACTATTAAATGAGAAGACAAATCTATTTATCTGAATCACAATCTTCATACTAGGATATTGTTCACAACAGATATTTGATATGCCTATGACTTGGTATGAGAATTAAACATAGGACTGAGGAGGAAAAAGATATTTAAAGGCTGTTTATAAGACCAGGTTTCCTTTTTCATACTGTTCCACTTGGTGGAAGAAAGGGAATAAGTTTTGTCCTCCCATTGTCCTCCCGTTAGAAAGATAATGCCATGGTGGGAACTCTGCAGTGATGGCTTGAAAAATATCTAGCAATTCTTTAGAGTTTTCTTCCCATGCCCAACCCAATGCAGTGAAAGTAGTTTTTTTTAATTTCTCCTTGAGTGAAAACAGAGTGACACAGTCAAACATTTTTATGTCAGTGCTAGAGGCCCCCAGGTTTGGCAACTACCTTGGGATGCAAAACCAAGATGGTAAACAGGGAAGTTCTAGAACCAGTGGGGGGAAATAGAAACCCAAGGCAGCTTCAAAATGTTCTCTTTTGACTTCTTTCTTCTGTTTTCTCTACCTTCTTCTTTTGTCCACTCTCTTTCTTTCTGTCCCACTTCAACAACCTTCTAAAAACTGACATCCACGTTCTTCTGCCTAGGTCTGCTTTGCACAGCTCATTGTCCCTGGACTGCAAGAATGAAGGCCAGCCCTGCCATTAGGCAGAATGAGGTAACTATCTCAAATAGTAGTAGATTTTGGAAGGACAGCAGTTCTTCAGAAATTCTCCAGCACTGTCCTTCTTAGCAAGTGTGATGCTCCACAATTTCTCCTGAAGCTTGGAGCAACCTCACTGTCTCAGGTTGCTCAGGCATTTGTGATTGGTCCTGGAACTAAGCTCACAAATGCTTCTGCATGGAAATCCACTTGTGTTTCCACAAGTGTCCTTTTCCAGCAGCTTAACTCAGGGAGAAACTCTTACCTGACAATAGTTGCTATCTGTTGCTAAGATTTTCTAGTAGATCCTGATCTACTTTCTGCCTATGCCTGCTTTAGTGTACAGTATAAGCCTGTGAACAAAGACTAGTGTTTCAGTAGAAGAGAATATATGTAGCTCAGGGTTGAACTGTGGGGTGTTACCTAGTTGGATAATGAAACGTCTGCAAGCAAACGACCAAGCTCAGAGAGCACCAAGGACTCCAAAGACTCGTGTGTTTGTTATGATACACAAAACAGTCTCTGCTGAAGACGTTGTTTTAAAACAAAAATGAATAAATTAAATATCTCTGGGGGTTGATCACACACTTCTGTACTTAAGTGGTGCATAAATGGGATCTTGAATTGTGCCAATTATGCTTGGTCTTTGTGTAATTTTTTGAAGGAGGAACTGAATGGAGGTATCTTTCTCAACTTTGTTTTCTGCACATGAGTTTCCAGGCCTCTCTCATCCGCATACCTGCAAAAAGGAGGGTGTGAAGAAGACACAGCAAATCTTATCGGTGAAAATGAACAATGATGCTCCTTGAAGCTACATTGCTTGTTTCACAAGAAAAGCAAAGATAGACAGGGTGAGCAAAAATCTAACAGATCTCACCTAGGAGAATAACCTATTCTATTAAATAAACACCCATGGGGAGAAAGCATAGGCTTCCCATGCCTTTTTTAAGAAAGAAGGTTACTTAAGATAGAACAGGAGTTGCGTGCGTAGGACTTGATCTCCATCTCTTTTCCAGGAACTATAAAATAATATTTTAAACCCTTGCATATCTGTTTTTCCTAACATTTTACAATGGCTGAATGCGTTTTTCAGCATTTCAAAGAGATCCTGGCATTCCCCATGGCTTCCGCAGCTGGTGCTTTACGTAACTTTCACACTTCCCATGTCGCCCACGGAAATTGCCAGAGACGTGGCTCCAAAGAGCTGGTCTTGGGTGCCTTCTGATTGGAAATCCATCTGGATCATGAAAGGCGAGTCAAAGCTCCGAGTTCATTGTTCTGCTTCCCTTGTTTCGGCAGCAGCTGCCTTGAGAAGGAGAAAAAAAGTGACAACGCCTCTCCCACTCTACCAGTCAAGGAGAAATCCCAGGAGGGAAATCGGTGAAATGCTGAATGGTCATATGTGTCTTCCACCAAGTGGCAATTTTTGTTTGTTGTCCCTTCCCTGGTCAAGGAGGAAGTTTGCAGGATGTTATGAATTTCCTGCTTCAGGGACTTGCAGAGCATTTTCATGTAAATAAGTCTCCCCAAAGCCACACCCTAGCACTAACTTTTTCTCCCCTGTGCGTAGACCATGGCCTACGCAGATGAATGTGTTTTTCAACCAGAATGGGGGCAGAATTGTACAGTGGATTGCACAAGGACCCTGGGACTTGCAAGCTAATTGAAAAATACAATAGACGGATTCTGGGTGTCCCCAAAATAGTCTCTGTGTTGGATGTGAAATATGAGCATTTGAATGGGGGGATCTGTAGAAGGGAACCCCCATATTCGTTGGCTTTTAAAGAGGTGTGAACCCAGCAGGATGTTGCTTATAAAGTGGTAGAAGAACTCAAATCATGTCTGTGGTTGCTACCAGAGACACATCACAGGAATATATATATTCTGCTGTGAGTGAATTTGGGTGTTCGGTTCCCACCAGTGGCCAGAGGAACGCTAACCACAAAGAACGTTTGGCCCCTGTTTGATTTCTCCTTTAACGACTTGTTGGACTGGATGAGGGTTGAATTTGATCATTTAAAAACCTTCGAGATATTTCAAGACCTCTTCAAAATTTGTTGGCTTCTCAAAAATATCCTGCATGGACATATCACACAGGACTCTTTCACGAGGGGGCTTCTTCTTTTTGGACACTCCTTGGAACAGCCAAGTAAACGATTAAAAAAAAGCCAGACTGGAAAAATGTTCGGGTAAAGTACCCGTAAAACAAAATAGACTTTTCATAATTTGCACTGGAGGGTCACAGGCGCTGTAGCGATGTGCTATGTTTTTCATGCCTAGATCCTGATGAGATCAGCCTGGTGCTTGCCCTATTTAAAACTTTCGTTGGTCCTTTCCCTTCCCAAGGCAAGCCGTCTGCTGATGAGAAACGGGTCCCTGAGGCAATGTGGAGACAAAAAAGAGCATGTAATTGAAATAATAAATTATGATCAGTGTCATCAGTTTTGCCAAGAGATGTCGTGGATTATGCTGTTTAAAGGGCGGTGCTAACTTAATGTGATGACAGACGGGCTGGAGGAGACAGCTAGGAATTGTTCTTCGGGAGAGGTCACGCAGGTCCTGCTCCAAGGCTGCGCCTTTAAAGTTTGCTTGTAAGGTCTGTTGTGATAAGGGCTCCTAATGCGCCTTTTGATACATTGCATTGTTCAGTAAGATCTGTGCTGATTTCTTGGACCTTCACTATCTGTATTTCCCTGATTCCTTGGGGAGTCTTATGCTACCCTCTCAAACAATGGCTAGGTTAGCACATGGCTGTGATCTTTAAACTATCGTTCATTAAGTAAACCGTAATTGCTTTTACAAGGCACTAAAACTGCAAAACATGTTTTATTGACATGCTGCAGTGGCTGGGTTCACACAGCATGCTAAGTCTAAAAAAGACCTCATCCCGGTTTCCTGTGATTCCAGTCAATGAGCTGAGCCTGGGTTTGCTTTAATTGTGATTTGTTTCATGAACCACATTGGCTGGGTTCACATGTCATTTAGGGTAATTACGCTGGTTTGCAGATTACATGGTTGTGGTGTACACAACAGAACAAACCACATTTTGGCTCAGCATAATATATGAACATTGAGCTTTCAGCCAATTGCTCTAAAGGGAGTCAGGGATGACAATTTTGCATCTTCTGTGTTTGATAGCTCCTAGTTTCTAGTTTTCCTAGTGAGAAGCTTTGTCCTTGGGTTTTTAGCTACCATTTAAACTCTCCCTCATTTGTCTCTCATTACACACCAACTATGGAATGGGATGAAATTGCACCAATATTTCTCCCAACCGCAACCATCATCCATGGTATGACTGCTGAGATTAGCAGGAAACAGTCCTGACTCAACTCTTAATTGTATCTTATGAGTCATCTTAATTGTATGCAGCTTATCCAATGTGGTATATTGAAAGGAGTGTTGGATTCAGACTGGCAACCCTTGAGCAAAAAATATCTACTTACATCCCCCTAGCCACTGATCTCGTTACAGAGGTGGACTAGTTGTAATGCTGGAGGACAGCTTTCATATTTGGGAGCCACCGTTAGCCTTATCTTCCTTAACTTTGTCTAATTGCTTTAAGACCTCTCCAAGTTGGGAGGTATTGCTACATCTAGTGGTCACAAATTGTACAACCTCTGCCTTGGTTCCCCCACAGTTTTGCTTAACTGGATGACTCCCCTCCTTCTTAGTATTACAGGGGAGAAAGAGAAACATCTTCTTGTCAAATGTTCCCCCTGTAGTTGCCTGCAGTTCTTTGGAAGAAGAGCAACAATGAAAAACATAATTAATATAACGTCAAACATGGAGGTCTTTATTTGGTGGCTGTATGTCTACTGCTTCATTTTGATTTAGTTACGGCAGATTAGTCAACAAACCGTGGTTGAAATTATGGCTGAATATGAGCTAAGAAACCAACCTTGAGGGCTTGTCTGCATCTAGCCAACGATCATAGCATGGCCTTCTTGACAGAGTCTGTTGAGACTGAAAGGCAATGCCTGAAGCAAAGAGGAGGAATTTGGCAATAGATATGGTGAGATCTCACCCCTTCCAAACTTCACCCAAGCTCAGTTGATGATCACACTGGAAAAGGAGGAGATGAGATGGATCTTATTGCTGCTCTTGTCATATAGTTACCCACCATGGATTAGAAAGAAACCAACTTGAAGTAGAATTTGTCTTACCCTGTTTTTCCCCCCTCCCCTCCTCTCCCCTCCCCTCCCCTCCCCTCCCCTCCCCAGGTTGGGCTGAGATACCTCCAAGCCTGGGTGTGGAAACTGGTTTGGTCTGGCAAGACCACGCAGCTCAATGGAATATGTAAACACTGGGCTAGAATCATTCATTTAAGGCTTATCTGCCTTGTTCTTCTGACTCTTTGCTGTAAGGGGCGTTGGGGTGCACCACAGGGGTGAAGGAGAGGAGTGGAGAGAAACCATTGTAAGAGCCATGAACAATCCAGAAGGGCGTGTTTTGCCTGGAGGTATGATTGCTAGGTCGGCAGAGTTTATGTCCTGAGTTCATCCTGTTCCTTTTGAGGAGCGAAAGAAAGTCTGAAGAAGAAGGTGAGCGCTACTGCTCTTCAGGTCCCTTCTGTTTTAAGCGCACCTCTTGCGAACAAATCTCTCTTTGACTTCCCTGCTCAGCAGAGGCTTCATCTTAGCTGACTTACTGGCCACTCATGCTGCTAGGAAACATGATCAATGCAATGCAGTCCTGGCATTGGGGCATCTGTTTGCTGTGTGTCTGGACTAGGCAGGAATGTTCTTCCATTCTAGACTTTTGATGAAATGCAATCCATGGTTGGACCTTTGATCAAGTTGGCTAGTAAGAACACAGCAAGAGGAGAACCTAAGATTGCTTGCAACTCTGGGATGGGCAGGAAAAAGAGCCTTCAGGAATGGACAGTTAAATGAATGAACGTACACCCTAGCTGTTCTTAGCAGAAAAATAAAATGGTTAAAGCACACGCCTTCAGGCTTCCTCTTTTTCTCCTAGGGTTGGGGGAATACTGTAACCAAAGATCATTGTTTCTTTCAGAGTTTTCAGCCATTCCAAAAGCTATTGTGAATAGTTAGCCCTCTTAAAAAATGGATGTTTGTTTCCTTTCCAAGCTTGCAAATTCACAATGACAACTATTTAATAGATAAAGAGATTTCATCTGTTGGAATAGTTTCACTGGTAAAAGATTCTGCAGGCCTTTGAGTGAAACAGAAGTCTTCAGTAGGCAGAAGAGAAAAAAATAGAGTTCATTGATTAAGAGCTTGCTTAGAAGCAAGCAAAAAGGACTGAATGGATCTCTCTTGTACAGTGAGACCTTTTCCACGTCAAGGGCAATTCCTGGCATTTTTCTAGCACCGTCCATTCTTACGAGTAAGTGCCATCTTGAGGAGAATCACCTCTTCCCCCGAAAAGGCAATCAAAACCCCTTTCATCAGGAGTAGGCCACCAGATGCCCTTCAAATATTTTAGACACGACTCCCATGATCGCCTGAGCCAGTGTATACAATGGTAACATATTATGGGATTTATAATCCAAATCATCTGGAGTGCATCAAGTTGCCTGCTCCTACATGCCCTGGAAAGAATAGCATTTTCCCAGAGACCCAGCACAGTAGCCGGGAAGAACTGTATGGCTTACCTACAGCTTTCCTCACCGTCATGAGAAAAATGCTTTTTTCAGAAATGCCTCACCCTCACAGGTAGCTCCTTGACCTCTTGCTGCCCCCCGAAGGAAACTGGTCTGCTTTGCGTTGCGTGTCCTTGCTGGTGCAAATTATTTTATATAAATGATCATCTATCTGCTGTGGCTAGGTTGGTCTCATTCATCTGAGTGTAATCCGTTCACCTGCCGGTCTTCCCTTCCATGCTTCCCTTCATAGCATTTATGAATCAATTTTTTTTTTTAAGTTTCAAAATCTTGCATTAACCAACAACCACACTTGGCCTCTTCCTTGGGCAATTTCCCATGTTCGCTGAGCCTTGATAAATCAAGGCCATTTATTCGCAAACCCGGCTTTGCTGCTTGCCATTCAAAACACCACTTGTGGCTTTCAAAGCTAAGTGAATTACTGTACAAGCGATAAACACCTCTTCCCCAACAACATATTCAGATGTCAAACTTCTCAAAAGCCCTCTCCCTGGGGACCCTTGTCAAGCGCTGGGGGTAGACAAACGCCAGAGCCACTTAAAACTCTTTTATTTCTGCAGCAAGTCGTTTCGGCCCAAGAGAGGCCTCAGGGTTACGACTACTGCTGCCGCCGCTGGGAAGACTGATGGGCCTCCAGAAGAAAACGAGAAATGTCCTGCTGGATCCGACCCAGCATCCTGTTTCCAAGCGTGGCCAACCAGATGACTCTGGGGAAATTCTTGAAACAGAATGTGAGGATTAACTGTTTAGTCCCCAACCTGGAACTTAGAGGTGCACTACCTCTGAACATGGGTGCTCCATGGGGCTGATATTCTTAGCCTCTACCATAGCTTTAGCCCATCAGCTTGCATCTTCGGGTTAGGCTCCTCTGAGCTTGAAGAACAGGAGTTGCTGTCATAATGAGTTTCCTTGCCTTGCCTTTTAACAACCTCAAGCTCTCGCCCACTGACATTTTCTGATGGAAAATCCAAATGCCCTGTTTTACTGTTGCTAATTTTTAAAAAAAGTTATTCTATGGCAATGCCTTCAATAGTTCCCTAGATGAAAGTGGGCTTTTGATTCCTGGCTCAGCTGATTCTGCAGGATACATTCCAGGGCTGAACTGTGCTTTGGTTCTTGTTTAATTCGCTGGTAGGTGCTCACCTACTTCAGTTCATGAAACCTTCGAACTTGGTGCCCATTGGGGCTCTCCAAAACTAACCTGGCTTGAGTACATGGATGCCCATGATGGGGGTACAGGGGAAAATGGCAACCCATATATTATGCAAATGGCCGCCTGATACACCTGGGTCAGGCATCACTAGGCATGTACTAAGTTGCATCCATCATGTGGTGCCATGATCTCATGAAAGTTATGCAATCATGTGGATGTCATCAAAGCTCATGACTCTGCTGCTTGAATAGATGGGAGTTGTAATCCCACACATTTTTAAGGCACAAGGTTGTGCTGGAACCCTTTCTCTGCCTGAGTGAGTGTTCCAGAAGGAGGTTTTTCTCAGTGTTTATTAGACAAAGAAAATTTCAACCTTATCAGTTCCTAGGTGAAATTTTCCAGCGGGGCTGCAGTGCACAACGCTTTCAGGACAAGATCTTGTAACGGGGGTAGGTGGGTGGTGCAGGACAAACAATGAAAAAAGGGGATAATGGAATTTAGATCATAGTTGCAATTCAACTCAATTTACAGACCCGTACTACGATCATTCCTCCCATCCGTATTCAAAAATTCAGAAGGGGCCTGGTAGCCTCTTTTCTGACGAACACATTTTATTCTTTGTTAAGCTCACAAAAACTTGTGCCTATCAATACAATGTGTTCGTTGGGAAAGGTGCTGTCAGATTCACTTCTCTCTCCTCCTTGAGCACCCAAGGCTTCGTGGAATAATGATAGTATCTGGGCTGAGTTTGCTATCTCGCTCACTTCTAGCACAACCAAATCAATTTCCCCCTCCAGACTTTAAGGATAGACTTTCAGATTTCAGACTGCAGTTGGGCAATTCACAGCTCCCACCCCTCCCTTTTTTCTGTAGCCCATCTTTGTCACCAGATTTGGGTGTCTCACTATTTGCAACCCAGAAACGTGGACAATTGTAGCATTGGCTTAAAGTAGTCTGTGAAAAAAACAAAACAAGAACCTCTAACCCAGTGTTTCTCAACCTTGGCAACTCTAAGATGAGTGGACTTCAACTTCCAGAATTCCCCAGCCAGCATGGCTGGCTGGGGAATTCTGGAAGTTGAAGTCCACTCATCTTAAAGTTGCTAAGGTTGAGAAGCCATGGCTGGCTGGGGAATTCTGGAAGTTGAAGTCCACTCATCTTAAAGTTGCTAAGGTTGAGAAGCACTGCTCTAACCCCTTAAAGAAAAGGTGTCAGAAAACTACAGAAATTCTTCTCAACCTTAGCAACTTTAAGATGAGTGGACTTCAACTTCCAGAATTCCCCAGCCAGCATGGCTGGCTGGGGAATTCTGGGAGTTGAAGTCCACTCATCTTAAAGTTGCTAAGGTTGAGAAGCACTGCTCTAACCCCTTAAAGAAAAGGTGTCAGAAAACTACAGAAATTCCCAGTCAACTTTTTACTTTCCTGAGCTCTTCCCCTTCAAATCACTCAGCACAGCCCTGAACATTTTCTCCAGTTGTCACATCAGAGGTGACAACCTCAGGGCTGCAGAGGGGTCTGCAGGGCATGGGTTAAAAAGTCAAGGTGGCAGTTGTGATGGGGCCATCCAAACTCTGCCTGCGATGCACATAAAAAACAAGCGAAACTTTGATTGAATTGTCGTGCTGCCATTTTGACTTCTTTGACCACACCCTGAGGACACTCCTGTAGCCCTGAGAGGCAAGTGTAGCCTCCAAGAGCCTTGACTATAACCCCTAAAAGCGGCCACCTAACCGAAGAAGAAAATGATTAACAATCCATCGGAGGAATCACAACCTTAGTTGTCCTTGCTTAATGACACTGTTGTTTTTGTCCTTGGACGGTGGCCCAAAGCTGGGGGTTAGGGTTAGGGTTAGCCTTGGCCTGAAAAAGCTGCAGATCATTATGTCCTTCGATCCTTGCAGGTACCTCAGGCTGCTTCTTCCATCAAAGCAACCCCAACAGAAACAAAATTCGCCAGTGCGTTCCTCTTCTCTCTGCAGCTTTGCCTTGACTGTGGCCACGTCACGTGGCTTCTCCAGCTTGGCGATCCCCATTGTCTTCCTGACCCGGCCATTATAAAGTGCTTCCTACTATTTAGCCCAATGTTTTTCTTTCGTAATTTTAGGCCATTAGTGCTTGTTCTGCCCCAAATTTACTACCGAAAATTACACTCCTCCTCCCTTCCTTTCAGGCTGACGGATGGCTGTGAGGTGACACAGCCTGTGGATTTATGACTACAGGAAGGAATCTGAAAGCAACTCTTGTGGTTCGGGCTGAAGGAGCAGGTCGAATATCTTTTCGCCATTCCCTCTGTGGCATCTCGAAAGGAGGAGCTTGGAAACTTTAGTGTTATGGACCTGACGTGTGTTACTGTAGGGGAGCAGAATGTTTGTGAGATTTTTCTTGTCGAGAGCTGCCTTCGGTCTGAATCATACATGATGGTGGTATTTACGATAGGGCAGCATCTCCTGCTGTGCACGAAGGCAGCAGGCCAGGTTAGGGGATAAAGGGTAGACCACATAACATCCACCGAATCACTAAATCTCACTAACATTCTGGGTTCCAAGGCTGTCCACAGTAGCTATCTCTCTCTTCCTAGTGGTAGGACTGGCCCTGAGATGTATTTGCTACTTTCTTATCAAGAGTATCACTCATTACTCCTGACCTGCATTTTATTTATTTTATTTTTTTCCTTCCTTCCTTCCTTCCTTCCTTCCTTCCTTCCTTCCTTCC